AAATATGATTTTATGACTTTGAAACACAGACCCTCTTACAGTAACTGGTTATGTTTGAGGCACACCTCTGAGTATGGCATTTATGATCATTTAATCTCTATTTGAAACTGAAAATCTCTTCTCTGCTATTTGAAAAGCCCTGAGGAGTTCAGGTTGGTAGAATCAATATTACGACTTAACACAGACTTTCTATGGGGTTTTATATGATGGGCCTTAGAGAATAGGAGTGAATGCTGATTCTCTCTGCTGTCTTGGTTTGGACTTCATTATTCTATCCTGTTATGTCAAGTTTTCTCTGTCATCCGTGAAGTATTTGTTCTTAGATCTTTAGTCAGATACAAATAAAGGGATTTTATTTTTGCATTGTTGCCCACATTTGTGTACAATGGTTGTTTTCCATCTATCATCTTTTTACACTGCCACCTGAAAGCCTGATTTTCCCCTCTTTTAAGTCAAATCTGTTCTCCGTCATTCTCAGAAATAACTCTTATGACCCACTAGGAAGGAGGAAGGTTGTTAAGAGGTCAACACATTCATTTAAGGGGAGATGAGAGGGAAGGAAAGAAGGGATGGGCTCATGGGGATATACAACTTGTAAACCTGCCTGGCAGATACATTTGTCTTCATCAGTGTGTGTGGCTGTGTGTTTGTGTTAAATAAGCTATTGTGTGGATGTGCAGCAGAGAAATAAACTGTTCTGATGGACTGATTTAATTGCGTTTGCCTCTATCATCTGTCTCTGTTCACCTGTGCCCCAGAGATATGCTGAATATACAACCTATACACACTTAATGTTCTTATAAGTAAGGCAATGAGCTGAAAAGAGGTACATAAATGCCTTATTGATTTCTGATATTAATCCCAAAGGAGGGGAAGGTTTTAAGGGGAGCGGATTGCTTATGCTGTGAGTAAGGATGAAGGTAAAGCAAAAGGAGATGCACAGCAACTTCAAGAATATGAGTATAACATTAGGATTTGTGGTTGTTATCTTGAGTTGATGACAAGACACCGCCATCATGTTGGCTAACTTAGCTTAGCACAAAGACTTGATACAGGGGGAAACAGTTTGCCCGGATGTGTCCAACAATATTCACCATGAAAATATTCTTGTTTGTTTATTCTTACAAAAACAGAACTGTAAAAACAGCAAATTGCTACTGTATCTTATATATATATATGCTGGATTATTTCTAGGGGAAGCACCAAGTGTTAGCGTACAGACTTAAGAGTTAAATGAATCGTCTAACTTGTGACAAGAAAGCCCTTAAGTGTTTGGTCTGATATCCTTTTTCCTGCTTTTGTGTGTTTTTAAGATGATCCTCCTGAACAAGCAGCAGGTGTGTTGGGTCTGAAGGTTAAAGGTCAACTCCTAGTTTACACCTCCACCTTGGCAGCTCAGGGGTTTACCCTCCATTACTAAGACTTCCGCAGGCTGTAACATGTCAGCATACACTGACTGTGGGTGAGTGAGAGACTTGGAGAGAATAAAGAAATCTCCAATGAGTGGGGGGGACATCTTGTTATTTAAGAAGTAGGCAGGCATTTGGAGCCGTGTTTGGCTTTGTGTCGCAGTAACATCGCCCGCACACCTCATTGAAACCACTTTAACAACGGCTTACAGAGGTGCAGGTTCCCATTCTCTCCTTTTATGGGCATTTTTGCCCCCATTTAAGACTCTTCCAAGATGAATCACCTCAACAAAGCTTTTACTGGGCTCCCTCTCTTTCTTCCCTACAACCACCCATAGCTGGGCCACTTCCTAGAATAGCCTTCCTCATCTGCCTACATTTGAATGGATACGGTCAAAAATCATGTTTTTTTTCTCGGTGACGGCAACACCGCTAAGAATACAGCCGGATATTAAAAGTACCAGACATGTCAATTAAAGTGTAATCAGTGCTTTAACAAGGCCTCATCACTGTCAATCCCAGTGGATCACTCCGTCAGCACCTGATCTCCACATCGCTGCACGCACTCGCTCTCATTACAGCAGAGAGGCGAGGTGTTGTTAGCATGATTAACTGGTGTTGGTCCCTGTTGGGTTATGCGGATGGATGGTGTTTTGCCCTCTGTGGTCCTGATTGCTTTGCTCTCATTACTCACCCTTTTCATCACATATCCATGCAATGTTGTGTAACATCATGTTACACTCATAATGTCTTGAGTTATTTATGTGACATTTTCCAACACCTTTTGGATTGATCCGCATACATTTTGGATCCCTGATTCTGTCGGCTTTGGTGATCCCCAGTCTTTTCCTGTAGCCCAACCATGAAACTGACATTCCGAGTTCTGACTGAACTATCTCAACAACTATTGGATTACTATGTCAAGAAACTGAACATGGACATATCTGCTAAATGTCAGCCTGTTAGCATTGTCGTGGGGATGTTAACAGCCTTAGAAAAATGGCTTTTTGAGGTAGAAAGATGTATTAAGCTCTGTTCACATATTATGGTTCTGTGCCTTCTGTGGTTTGGGGAAGTCATCTTTGTATGTGGTGTTCGTGTGAGTGGAGGACAATTGGGACTGCACTGCATATGTAAGGCCATTAGCATGGCTGACTGGGCAGACAAAGTGCTGAGGATTGTTAGCCTGGCTGTGCATGATGAAAAAGGACAAGACAGTGCTAAGTTGGTGAAACAGATGAGGCAACGTCAAAACATGACTTCCCTTTCTTTTCCTCCAGGATCCTGTTAAACTGTACTTGTTCTCACATCGTATTCCCTCTCCATGGGGCCTTTTTACCCTTAAACTCACATCATGTTCTGTCATTTCTCTTTCTCCTATGCTTATATTTTTTTAATGCTTCTCCGATCTGTAAATTAGAGGTGAACTGTGTTTTTAGTGCTGATGAGCTTTTCTCCATGTTTGACTCGACATGTACCCTAATACTGGATTCTGTTGCTCCTTTTACGCTTAGACGCACCAAAGTTCTCTCAGAGCCGTGGCTCAATGACTGTACCCGTGCTCTCAGACGCGTCTGCAGGCATGCAGAGAGAAAATGGAAAAAGGATAAACTCCATGTCTCCTTAGAAATCCTTCGTGCTTGCCTTTCCGACTACCAGACGGCAGTCAAAGCAGCCAAAACAGAGTATATTTCTCTGTTAATCTCCAAAAACAGCCATAAACCTCAGGTTCTTTTTAATGTCCTCAACTCGATCATTAATCCCTGTGATGTTTCTCCAATTGTGCCATCGACTACTCTCTGTGATAAGTTTCTTACATTTTTTATTGAAAAAGTATCTGCGCTTAGGCTAGCCCACACTCGTGCTACCCTAGATCCTGCTCCTTTACTGTGCCCTGCTGTCCTCGACCACTTTGAGCCTGTATCCCTCTCTTCTCTCTCGGATGTAGTCAAGCACCGGCGGACGACAAACTGCACCTCAGACAGCATTCCCTCTCGCCTTCTCAGAGATGTTTTCGAATCAGTTGGAGCAAGTATTTTATCACTTATAAATACCTCTCTTAGCTCAGGATGTGTCCCAGCTGCCTTCAAACATGCCGTGGTCAAGCCACTACTTAAAAAGAAAAATCTCGACCCTTCCATTCTCGCAAATGTTAGGCCCCATCTCCAAGCTACCTTTTTTATCTAAAGCCCTGGAGCGAGTAGTCTACGCCCAGCTGCAGTCTTTTTTAACCATGCATGGCATCCATGAAAAGTTTCAGTCTGGCTTCAAACCCATGCACAGCACTGAAACAGCCCTTTTAAGGGTTTTTAATGATCTGCTCCTAGCCGCCGACTCAGGTAGCCCAGCTGTCCTGGTGCTGTTAGACCTGACAGCTGCCTCTGACACTGTGGACCATAGCATCCTGTTGTCACGGCTTGAACAGTCCGCTGGCATCACAGGCTCTGCCCTTGCATGGTTCACGTCCTACCTGACAGACCGTAGCTTCTCAGTGCAGCTAGGTGCCTTCTCCTCTGCCAAAGCCCCTCTTACCTGTGGGGTTCCCCAAGGCTCGATTCTGGGCCCCATCCTTTTTCTACTGTACATACATACCTCTGTCACGAACCTTGGAGTGACCTTCAATAGCGCTTTTAAATTCGATAAACAGGTCAGCAGCGTAGTCAAAACCTGCTTTTTTTAAATACGACTATTGGCCAAGACCAAGTCCTTTTTATCTTTTAAAGACCTGGAAAGGGTTATTAACGCCTTTGTTACCTCGAGGTTGGACTACTGCAACGCTCTGTATGTGGGTATGGACCAGGCGTCAATTAAACGCCTGCAGCTATTGCAGAACGCAGCTGCACGTCTACTCACTGGCCACAAAAAGCGTGACCACATCACCCCAATTCTGGCCTCACTGCACTGGCTTCCAATTCGGTTCCGAATTGATTTTAAACTCCTTTTATTTGTTTTTAAAGCACTAAATGGGTTGGCTCCGGCCTATATAGCTGAACTCCTCCAGCGCTACACCCCAGGCAGAGCTTTAAGGTCGGCTGACCAGCTGCTGCTGATAGTGCCCAAGACCAGGCTCAAAACCCGAGGGCACCCAGCCTTCGCAGCAGCTGGCCCCAGGCTCTGGAACACTCTGCCCCTCCATGTGAGGTCGGCCCAGACCCCAGGGTTTTTTAAATCTACTCTTAAAACACACTTCTTCTCTCTGGCCTTTTAGTCAGAGCGGAGCACGACTCCTGACTTTTCCCTGTGTTTTTTATATATCTGTTGTAATTTATTGTCATTTATTGTGATTGTAGTAATGTGTTTTTATGTGATTGTAGTATTTATTACATGTAAAGCACTTTGGCCCGACCAAAAAAAAATCGCTTTTAAATGTGCTTATAAATAAACTTTGATTTGATTCTCCATTGCTCTGTTAGAAAAAATTCTGGTAAAGTTTGACCATATCAAACAGTGAAACACTTGTCTTTCTTTTCTGTCTGTCTCTTGTATTGTTGCAAACAACAAAAGGACAAGGTATTTTACAAGAATTGTCGCTCTTACTAAGTTGTATCTTCTTTTCCTTCACCCCCTCCCCCCTCCACCTGACTCCTGTAGGTAGTGGTGTCGCAGCTGAAGGATGCCGCTGGTGAAGCGCACCATCGAGCCCAGGCACCTGTGCCACACGGTGCTGCCAAGGAACATCAAGAATGAGCTTGAGTGTGTGACTAACATCTCCTTGGCCAACGTCATACGCCAGCTCGGCAGCCTCAGTCAGTAGCACAGACAAACACACACACACACACACTCATATTCTCTCACAGTTATAAGAAAAGACACACCCTGCACAAACACACCTTGGCTCTCCGTAAGTCGATTAGCTGACCGTTATAAATGAGGTACTTAGTCAGCTAATGCATACTTGTCAGTTTTCATTCTTTCCTGCTTATTTTCTGGAAACTACATTGCTGGCATTACAGCATTGGAATATGCAGGAAATGACCACATTTTATAATCTTACACATTCAAGATCACAATCACAATTACATATTTCTGTAGTATTTCTAAAGATATAATAGAACATACTTACAAATCTGTAGAACACATTATTTAAGGCCTTTGTTAGTAACCTGATTAACCGAAATTGAAGAAAAAATAAAACATTTAAGAAAAGATATAATTTTTCTTCATCAGTTAAATGTGCGTCTAGTATCACACATGCCTTAGTTAAAACACCTCGACACACACATCTCCAACAGAGCAGTCAGCCCCAAAACACACAAGTACAGCACTTTCTACTGTGCTGTGATTGTGTCTTACAAAGCATTTTCATTTCCATTTTTTAAAACGAGCACATAAGTGTGATAGATATAAACTCCATACAAAGATAGTTATACAAGACAAGCAGACGGTTGATGTTAAACATAAAGTGAGATTGTTCAACCAAAGACAAATGACACTTTGAATAAATAATAGAAATGTATTTAAGACTTAATATTGTCATTATAATTGCATAATAAAATAATGTTCTTTGAATTATTTAATCATTTTAAATGTTAACACTGTTATTTGACTTTAAAAAGCGTGAAAATAAATAAAGGGCGTGTTCTGTGCCTGTGTGTATCTGTGCAGGTAAATATGCAGAAGACCTGTTTGGAGAGCTGTTCAACGAAGCACACACCTTCTCTTTCCGGGTCAACTCCCTGCAAGAACGCGTGGACCTCCTCTCCATCAGCGTCACACAGCTGGACCCCAAAGAGGAGGAATGTGAGTTCTCTAGAAACACACACAAACTTACTTGTGCACTCTGTTGCTGTCACTCACACCTTCACCTCCTACTGCACTACATTGGATGTGCACTTGCTGATGTGCCTTAGAGTGTGTTTGTTTATCACCTGTGTGATGGACCTCGCCTGCCCCCCCCCCCCCGGTGTTAATGGCTGCTATTAGAGGGACAGGCAGCCATGAGACAATGTCATTTTTCATCCCCAACAGTACAAAACAGAACACAATTCAGAGTTTCACTTTGGCTGAAGGCAAACTCTGAGTCTGAAAACTTAAGCCATTTGGCGTTTTTTGGTGTGTATGAACTTTTTCCTACTTTTAAGAACATATATTGAAGAACACCACCCTTAAAGTGTACTAATCACAAGCATTAGGAACGATCATAATTCTGAGATTGCAGTTTTAAGAGTCCTTTTAGCTCCTATTTCAAAGGTATTTCTCCAACACATAATGAGCAGTACAGGTAACCGGTATTTTTTGACAAATGCAGACAATTGGGCTGACAGTGCAGTCTAGGAGTTAATTTGTGAATACATATAAATAGCCAATACGAACTGATATTGCTACAGGTTCCTTACAGAACAGCTGCTTTGCATGTGTTTACATGAGTGTGGTATATAACAGAGTTGTTTATGTATTCCTGTATTAAAGCTAAGACAGTTTGTTGAATGTAGCACACTTGCCGATCTCCTGGCTTGAGATGTGAACCCCAGCTGGCTTTCCTAACTTCAGAGTTTTATTGGAGGTGCAAATGCAAGCAGAAAAAAGCCCTTGAAGGTTTGCTCGTTTACCCACTGAAGACTTCTCTTTGAAGGGAGACATTGAATCTGTGGTCAGAATGTATCTTTTGGAAGGATGACAGGATAGTGGGCACAAAGTCAAAAGAGAGGGAATCACAGCGGTGTAATACCATGCTCCAAGGCGTCGTATCGATTTCCCATGGGCCAGCAGTGTGTTTATGGCTTTGCACAATGCTACCCTTAACTGCTTCCTTGTCACTGACACCGAGACAGTAAAATGCTCACTGAGCTGAACTCGCAATTATGGCTTTCCTGTAACTGCAGGCTTTGATACTTTTTTTTTACAATCCAATAAATAGTTTGTTGGTTTTTGAAGAATCATGGGGTTGTGTTTTAAACACAGTCAGAGAGCAGACTCTTAGATCACGGATTGTTTCTTCTAATCTTCCTTTTTGTTATGTCCTGCAATTTTTTCCCGCTTCCCCCTTCAGTAACTTCACTCTTTTGGATTGCTTTGCCCTCTACCTGTCTTTCTGTTACCACTCCCTGCTTCTCTCCCCCCTGACCCTTTCTCCTCACCCTGTCCACACACAGTAGCCATCATAATCTAATAATTGTGTGTGATCTAATTGTGGAAGTCTGTTGTGTGGGGTGTCTCAGCTGGTAAGTGAGTCCAAATGATCCTTCAGAGGTTGAAGGACAGAGACACGCTGACACACTCGTCCTCTCACACACACAAGCCGCACTATCTCCCCCTGCAGAGGATAAGATGTTCAAATTGATCTTAACAGATACATATCTACAGATGTTCTTGGGGAAATGCCCAAGTAACAACAAAGATGGTCTTTGTATCATATTAACAAAAAGCCGTCCTGTTCATATTCATGTGACTTCTCTGCTTTTTGGATATGGATTATTAGTGATGCTGTGTGTACGCTTGTGTCCAATGAATCTGTGCATGTGGTCCTGGGTTTTTATCTCCCTTCATTAATAATCCTGACTTAACATCTTTAGCCTAAAGTACTATCTTGAGAGACGTGGATAAGGATCAGCAGTTGCAGTTTAAGTGTTTGGTGGTGTTGGGAGTCGGAGGGGAGGAGGAGAGTAAGGAAGATGGAAGGATAGAGTGATGGGCGCATAATACAGGCCACTGCAGCAAAAGCAGTGGAGTGTAAAAGGATTGTACCGCAGAATTTTCTGGGCCAGGTTGAAATGGCAGGTTGCAGCAATTTCCCGCTCACTTAAACTCCTCCACACACAAATGAAGTTGCCTAGTAAATGGAAAATCACACAGTTTACTCTGCTGTCCAGAATATTCTTCATTCAAGATATATAAAACCGCAAGGTAGTGAAGTAGTGTGTGGCGACTTCATGGAGAGAAGTCGGATGAATGTGACAGAAAAACGGGCGATTGTAGGAGGGGTCTGTTTCTACTAACTGCCACCCTTTATCCCCACCCCCAACCTTGCCCTGTCTTTACCCTCACCCTCTCAAACACACACTGCTGTACACAGTTAAAAGTGTATGCTTTTAGCACAAGCGTACGACTTGCCTTGTAATTGTGTCTGTGGGTCTGTGGTCGGCATGATAGGAGGAGTGAGTGCAGGCAGGGATGGGACATAAATCAGGACTGTGGAGAGATAAAGATAGGGAGGATGGGGGGATGGAGGAGAGCGGAACAATTATTTTACACATACTGTTCACTAAACTACTAAAAATCCTCTTTGGATATCTTTAAAACGCTTAATGATCTAAGAACATGTGCCGATCGACAGAATACACTCAGAAGTTAAAACTCAAAGGTTGCAACTTCCACTTTTAAGTTGTACATTTTTTTTGTTTGGCTACATTGTGGTGCTAAATCCTAAATCGAAATCATACAGTATAGGGTTTAAAATGTTGACATCACAGATACGAACAAAAATGATGAATTTTAGTAAAATGTGCAATAAAACCGTTAAATAAAGCATCATATTGAAATGATTATTCTGCCTTTTTTATTGCTACTGTATGATTTAGAGCATATTACAGTTAGATCAGCATTAGAATAATACACTGCAAGCAAGCAGTAGTTAAGAGATGTAATGTGTCTGTTTTATTACATACACATAACGATAACAATATAACAGTGAAGTGCTTAGAGAGGATATAAAAGCCAGACCAAAATAAATACATTAAAGGTGGGGTAGGTAAGTTTGAGAAACCGGCTTGAGATACACTTTTTGTTATATTCCATGGAATGCTCTTAACATCCCGATAGCAATGAATATCTTAAGTGCTTTGACAATAAATCCATAAAAACTTTCATCTGTGGAAGCCGTATTGCTGTAAAAAGCACGACCAATCATTTTAGCCGGCCCGGCTAAAATAACTGGATGGCCTACCTGCCTGTCAGCCTTCCATCTGTGCACAAACTTATCTCGTGCCCTCATTGGTCATGTGCGTGTTCGTGTGTGTTGGAGGAGGGGCTCTGTGAGGAAGTGGCAGATTTTTTCCGGCTGTGTATTTTCAAATTCTAGCGCACTCGAGCTGGTTTCTCCAAATGTACCTACCCCACCTTTAATCACATACAATTTTACATCTTAGAAAAATACACTTAAACATCACCCGATTTGGACTAAGAAACCGATATCAATCAATAAAATACAACTCATCTTCATAACACAGCTTAAAGATCATGCACACACACAAGCTGCAAGAACAACTTCCTAATTTTGTAATGGTACCATCCAAGAAGCATGTGAATGCACCATAGGCCATTCTTCCTAAAGTGTACTGTAAGGGATTAATGTATAGGAAAGTGGCCCCACTATGTATTATACAGGTTTAGGTGTAATATAAAGTTAACTATGGCAGCTTCAAAAGTTGTATTACACACATTAACTATATTTAAACTTCCCTTCCCAGTTCATGCATAATGTATGTGTGATAAAAAGCAATGGGACTTCAGTATTGCGAATTAAGATGAGTCACAATCTTGCAATGGAGTAGACTCAAACATGATGCAGACAGTCACACTGATATAAATCCTGTTTCATCAGTCCAGAGCATAAGGACACTGCGTGGACCACATGAAAGATGTCTCACTGAAGGTCAGGGAGACGTGAGACATGGACAGAGTGATGTATGCCGTGTCATTGGTGGTGGTTGAGGTCAAAAGTGTTTCATCACGTAGATTTATGCACGTTCAAACTGACACACACACACACACGCACACCTTGCCCACGCCCCTGAAGCCTTTAAAGAATATTGTCCCTTACATTGCCCTTTATGCCTCCACTCCCCTTCTCCTGACCGCTTACCCCCCCCAATACCTTCCCTGTCTTTGTTGTCCACCCCAGCCCACTCCAATCTCTCAGATTGATCTCTGCTCTCCCTTCATCTAGCATGGATGCTATTTGTGTGCTGTCAGGCTCTCATCCCCCTATCACTCCAGCCAACCAGACTAATGGCCTGTATCCCCTCTTTAATGGCACCGTTACATCAGAGCACCGGCTGCAGGCCATTACGGAGGGCCACGAAGCCACCCCGGGTCCCTGTGGGCTCTAACCGTTTCTTTATATACTCCATACTTGCTCTCTGCTCCTGCTGTTTTGATCAGACCTCTCTCTGTTTCCCTGCTTCTGTACTCTATAAGAGTTTTCTTGTTCTATTGCCACTTTGTTTCTCTTCTCCTTTTGACCCTCAGACTTGATTTGCATTATTTGTTTTGCTTGGTTTTTCATGTTTACTGCTTCGACTCTGATTTCCCCCACATTCGGTTCATACCTCTCCTTATCTTCCTTTCATCTGTCTTTGTCTACAGTTCCCTTTCTATTGAGGTGTTTTCAAATAGGCTTTGATGGCTTGACTGTTAAAACCGTACTTTCTGCTAAAGGCATAACAAAAAAACATAAGCAAAGTTTCTCCTTTTCTCAGAAACTCTTGTTTGTTATTGAGTTTCTTTGCTTTCCTCTGTGAATGGGAAGTGTGGAGTGGTAAGCTAGGTCATTTGCTTAAAGCATTTTGAGTTTTAAATGTGTTTTCAGACACAAAAGTAATCTGAATGAACATCTATGTTCAGAAGGGATTCATTCAGTGTTTAAATGCTCTTTATTTTTCTCACATGTGCGTAATGAAATAAATAAACGGATCATGTTTACACATAAACTTTATATGGTTTGGATCTGTTCCCCTCATCCCGCTGTGATTACTCGCGAGGCATTAAAAACAATAAAATATTCAAATGGATTAAATGTAGAA